CAATCACACAGAAACATAGTTAGCTAACCAGCAATCACACAGAAACATAGTTAGTTAACCAGCAATGACACAGAAACATAGTTAGTTAACCAGCAATGACACAGAAACATAGTTAATGAGCAATCACACAGAAACATAGTTAATGAGCAATCACACAGAAACATAGTTATTTAACCAGCAATCATACAGAAACATAGTTATTTAACCAGCAATCATACAGAAACATAGTTAGCTAATCAGCAATCACAAAGAAAAACAGAGCTAGTTAACAATCAATCACATGGAATGATACAGTTAAACAGAAGCTGTCTGTTACACAGAGAGTTAACAGGAGAAACAGATCCCCTGCATATCCATATTTTGTGACTACATTTTTCACCAATAACGCTTGGATCAAAATTTTCATACTGAACTTACACCAATTATGAATGGATCATTCCTGACAGAATTTCCATCCATTATGAATGGATCATTCCGGACAGAATTTCCACCAATTATGAATGGATCATTCCTGACAGAATTTCCACCTATTATGAATGGATCATTCCGGACAGAATTTCCACCCATTATGAATGGATCATTCCGGACAGAATTTCCACCCATTATGAATGGATCATTCCGGACAGAATTTCCACCAATTATGAATGGATCATTCCTGACAGAATTTCCACCTATTATGAATGGATTATTCCTGACAGAATTTTCCCCCATTATGAATGGATCATTCCGGACAGATTTTCCACCAATTATGAATGGATCATTCCGGACAGAATTTCCACCCAATATGAATGGATCACTCCAGACAGAATTTTCACCCATTATGAATGGATCATTCCGGACAGAATTTCCACCCATTATGAATGGATCATTCCGGACAGAATTTCCACCCATTATGAATGGATCATTCCGGACAGAATTTCCACCCATTATGAATGGATCATTCCGGACAGAATTTCCACCCATTATGAATGGATCATTCCAGACAGAATTTCCACCCATTATGAATGGATCTGGTGATGCATCAGATCATGACGGGACAATATGCATAGGAGCAGGCCAGCCAGTTTAATCACCTTGGAGTAGCAATGGACTAGAATAGAGACATTAAGACAGAGCTGGTTCTCGAAAAGCAGCAGCTAGGAGACTTTTTCAGGCTATAAAGCAAGGGTTTGTCAGCAAAAAGAAAAACTGACAAAAGAATAAAAATGGCTGTACCTATGTGCCAGTCCTGACCTACGGGTGTGATTCATGGGCAATGACAACAACTCACAGAAGCCAGCTTCTGGCCTCAGAAATGAGGTATCTGAGAAAGCTGGTCCTAGTGATAACGAGGGACAAAGATTGGTTTGGACATGTTAGTAGAACAGGAGAGAATCAGCCCCCATGGCAGGCCGAGAACCAAGGATCCAGATCACCAGGATGACCCAGGGTCTGCTGGGAAGACAACATCCAACAGTCCCTGACTGACAGAGGATTGGAAGAGAACAAAGCCACACAAAAAAACTCCAGATAGAGAAGATTGGTGATCTCTCTAGCAAACCTCTACACCCAAAGGTAGAAGAAGATCGACTAAGTAAGTAGGTATGAATGGATCAATATATATGTTTATAACAGAACATATTCTGGTCACTAAAGTAGGATACGATTCCAAATTAATCACAATGTGATTGAAAGTGCTAATGAAAACAACTATATTGGGAAAACAAGAGACATACAGAGGTGCTGAACTAACTATTGCGGTGCAGCAGGGCCAAAGCTCATACTGGTTAAGATCCAAAAACATCTCCCTGTGGTCATCCAAGAAACAGGTTACCAAATGAGGGCCTGATCAAGGTGGAAAGGGTCAATGTTTTTTCCATAGTCTAAGCCCATCTGCCTGACAGGCGAAGAACCACAAGTCTGTGTACAAAAAGACAAGATGGGAAAAACGAAAATGTATGCAAACTCAAGTCCTGGAAGAACATCAAAGTCTGGATGTGATAAACAACTAGGACTTCTGTTGGAGTTTGGAGTTGGTGTATACAGAAGAATGAAAAAAGAAGATGAAGCAGGAGAAGTAGAAATAGAAGAAGAAAAACACAAAGTACAGGTAAACTTTACAAAACTTACAATAACCAAGCACAAAGAATGGGTCAACTTTACAAAACTTACAATTTAAAAAAAAAAGTATGGGTCAACTTTATGAAACTTATAATTATAAAACACAAAGAAAGTTGCAGCAACAATCTATTAGTAGCAAACAATAAGAGACAAACAACAACATGAAATAAAGAAGGAAGTGACACTCAAATGTACGTTAAGGCACTATAATTTTATGCGACCATGTGAAACATAAACAAGCAAAATGAAACACAATTTATGTTGTTTTTCAAATTCCTAATGACTCAGATTAGGGTCTGCATGGTCTCGAGGCATGCTGTCTGCATTGAGTGCTAGAAGTCCCGGGTTCAAGCCCCAGTGAAGACTAGGATTTTTGTCACATGTGTAATATCCCCTGGTTTCTGGGTAGTAAGATCGGATGCCCATGTGTATTGTTGCCATAATAAAATCCTTTGGTAGGTGGAAATCGAAAAGATTAGCATAACGGTGCACCCGAGCAAAATTTGCAGTTAAAAATCTACCTAAAGTATTTCAGGATCCTCGCTGGTGCAACAGAGTTCATGCATTGCGCTGACATTCTTCCGACTCACGCTTGAGTTAGAAGAAAAACAGAGCAGTTATGAGTTACACTCGTGTGCGATGATGTTGATCCGTTGAATAAACATAAACATATGACTCAGATTAAAAAAATCTCTAATTATTTTATTTAAAATAAAAATCTTCTTAAAGTCCATGCCGTGTGACGTTGGTAGTCATGTCTAGCCACAACCTTCAGTCTCATGTACTTTCAATCAACTCTGACACAGATGGTCTTCCATAGTCCACGCTGTGTGACGTTGGTAGTCATGTCTATCCACAACCTTCAGTCTCATGTACTTTCAATCAACTCTGACACAGACGGTCTTCCATAGTCCACGCTGTGTGACGTTGGTAGTCATGTCTAGCCACAACCTTCAGTCTCATGTACTTTCACTCAACTCTGACACAGATGGTCTTCCATAGTCCACGCCGTGTGACGTTGGTAGTCATGTCTAGCCACAACCTTCAGTCTTATGTACTTTCACTCAACTCTGACACAGACGGTCTTCCATAGTCCACACTGTGTGACGTTGGTAGTCATGTCTATCCACAACCTTCAGTCTTATGTACTTTCAATCAACTCTGACACAGATGGTCTTCCATAGTCCACACTGTGTGACGTTGGTAGTCATGTCTATCCACAACCTTCAGTCTCATGTACTTTCAATCATCTCTGACACAGATGATCCTCAATGCCATGATGTCAAACTGTCCAGTTTCTTTTCTCTCAGTCTCCCTCTCCTCCCCTCCAACTTTCCTACTGTCACGATATCCAGTACCAGAGCACCATGTATAAGCTCTGCATTTGTGGAAGCCTCCTTGGATGGCGGGGAATGCTCATGTTCTACCCCTGCCTTTTCCTGAGGGCTGATCAGCATTATGTGGCTTCTCTGGACCAGCCTGATTGAGGCACCACATGTGACCTTGGAAATAAAAATGACCACACAACAATGAGACTGCTATGTCCCCAAAAACTAACGGGAAAGGCTAACCCAGTCAAAAAATGCCAGCAGAAGTCGGATGTGTTGGCCGAAAGGTGCAGATATCGTAGCCATGCTATAAACGGACACAACGCAATTACATCTTCGGATGAACGCAGAAGAAGAAGTAAAAAAATAATAAAATAAAAATATGTAAGCAAAATGAATTTAAAACAAAAATTAAAAAATGCCTAACAAAGAAACTCCCGAACTCAAGAAAGATGGAAAACTAAGAAAAATGGCTCGACAACCTCCTGTACCAAAAGTCGTAAGACAAAGAAGAGGGTGATATTCAGAGCCCATTCTGAGCAGATGTGAACAGAGAATCATCAAACAGGTACTTAAATTAAGGAGTTGAAGGGGTAGGGGGGAGGGGGAAGAGATGGAATGAGGAAAGTTGAGAAAACAATGATGTCCGAAAGAAACCCTTTGACGAACATTGATGAGAGAGGCCAAAGGTGCTAGGCTGCATTTCACACACGATACTGAACATAAAATAACATAACCCTTGACCCATTAGGGTCGTGGAGGTGTATTGATGGAAGCACTAGCACATAAAACCCGTCATCTGTCTCTGTCTTCTGCTTGATGAATAAGTGTATGATAACTTAGTCCTGTTCATTTTTTTAAATGTTATCATTCCTCTTCTTCAACTACCCCCCAATGTTCCTTGAAGTACAGTCTTTGCAATGGAATCATGTCTCACCTTGTGCCCAAACCAAGCTAGCTTGCGGCGTTTCACCACAGCCACTACTGAAACAATGGCACAGAACAGAACGGGAACAGAAAAATTAAACTCTGAGCCCTATGTGATGTGCAATGGACCAAACGGCTGATGACAATGACGCAAAGTGCTTACTGTTTAACTGAGTAGCCGCTACACCACATACAGGAGTTAACTGTCACATAGAAGAGTTAACGGTCTCATGAAAGAGTTAACTGTCTGTTAAAATGAGTGTTGATAATTTTTGTTAACATTCCCAACTGGATTTCTGGGTCCCATTTAGGGTGGGGATGGGAGGGAGGGGAACAGACCCAGGCTCCTGAACAAGCATGTCATCATAGGCTACTAAATAAGCATTTCTTGAAATCAGATGTTTTGGCTGAAAGACGTAAATATCACAGCTCAGCTGTAAACCCCACTACAACATGACAACCACCTTTTTGAAGGCGAATGCAGAAAAAAATAAAATAATTTACTTTAAGAGTTAAGGTAAAAAAAATTTGTCTGTCAAAATGAGCAGAGATTATTTCACAAGTATTTTTAACAGACAAGCAATAATTATGAAGTGAAATGAAACTGATTCTGAATCAAATCACATTCCTTTCCTCTCATAGAGTTTAATTTGTGACAAAAGGGCGCCACAGCTCTGAGACTTCATTGTTCTTGTAGTTATTCAACACTTGTGTCATATCTATTGGTTGGAAGAATTCAAGGCGATGGCTGGAACAAAGATAACAAAAGTTTTAAATCAGTAAGATAGTCATTACTATCTAAATTTCTCACTGTATTGAATCAATGAGATAGTCATTACTGTCTACATTTCTCACTGTAATGAATCAATGAGATAGTCATTACTGTCTAAATTTCTCACTGTGTTGAATCAATGAGATAGTCATTACTGTCTACATTTCTCACTGTAATGAATCAAATTTCCACGATGACTGGCTGTAAACTCTAGCGGAAAGTTCTGGCTGTTTGTCCACCTCTGGACTTTAGTCTTGTTCTAGAAACAGAGTGTTGCGCGCACATCCGTTTAACAGATCTGACTAAATTTTATGCAGATTCTTTGTTTCTTACCTCTCAGGTAGATGCACTCTGACTTTGAAGGAAGTCCCCAATTAGTCGATTCCTACGACATGTTTGTTGAGGAGGCAGTGGGTCTATTCTTGTTTTCCCCACAATGGGACCCCGGAACCCACACAGGGCACTGAGAATTCAAACCTGGGTCTCTCAAATGAGAGCAAAGTGTTCTTAACCACTTTACCAGGCACTCTTCAAATAAGATAATAATACTGGGAATTTCACTCATAGGACAAGACTGCAGATACGGAAAATCTATTTCAAGAAAATGAAAGAAAAAAGACACCATTCAAATGAAGCATAAAGGTAAAGTTTGTTGCAAAACAGACACTGCTATAAACAACATTTCTTATTTTCCACCTTTAATAGAGTGGTAGGCATACTGCAGTTTACAGCAAGGCTGTGATACTTGCAACTCTTAGTCCAACGTATCTGATTTTGGCGAACCCTTAACCATTTTGGTTCATGACATGCATGCTTGTTTAGGGGGTTGTTTGTTTATTCTGTTTTTACTTTTCATATGCCAGTATGAAGAGTTCCAATATCACTTGAGGTTTTGAACAACGGATCAACATCACAGCACAAGGGTAGTAACCCATAAGTGCTCCGTACTATTTCTAACTCAAGTCTGAATCCGAAGAAGCTTAGCGCAGTGCATGAACTCTGTAGCACCGACCAGGATCCCAAAATACTCTGGGTAGATTTTTAACTCCAAATTTCGCCCGGGCAGAGCTGTTAGGCTACTCATTTGAATTTCTAACTGCCAAGAACTTTTGTACATGTGCAAAAACACATGGGCGTCTGATCTTACTACCCAGAGACCAGGGAAAATTACTACAAGTCCATGTAAAAAAAAATAATCCCAGCCTTCACCAGGGCCTGAACTCGGGACCTCCAGCACTCGAGGCGGACGCCATACTTAGAGACCGCTCAGCCCCTGCCTACCCTTGTTCACGAGAAGACAAGTCCTCCACAGTCAGAGCATGGTATTTCCCGACCTTTGCTGCGGCTGTATGTATTTAGTGTGCCCTCCCCAAACACAGACGCTCAGGTCTGAACCTATCTGCTATCTGTTTTATTAATTTTTTCTGCTGAATTTTCCCCATCCATGCAAGATGTCCAACATGGAAGTCCAACAATTACTGCAGAGGAACGAAACTCCGACGCTACAAGAGCATCATTTTGCCAGTTCTTCTTTATGAAGCGGAATGCTCGATAATGACCAAAAAGGATGCACACAGGCTGTCCACCTTCCACCACACATGTCTACGTAGAATTATCAAAATTTTCTGGCCAGATTCAGTCTCAAACACTAAACTACTTCAAGTAACAAACCAAGAAACTTTAGACAGTATGATAACCAAGAGAAGATGGAAATGGCTTGGCCACGTTATGAGAATGAATCCTGATATACCTGCCAAAACAGCTCTCACATGGACACCAGAGGGAAAGAGAAAACAGGGGCGCCCAAAAACAACTTGGAGACGAACGACGGAAAGTGACCTGAGTGTGGCATCTTTGACATGGAAAACTGCACTGAAGATTGCACAGGACAGGAAAACAAGGAAAGTCCTCTCTGAAGCCTCATGTGCCACTAGGCATAACGAGAAATGATGATGATGCAAGATGGTCCATGGCACTGCCTGTGACATAGAGAGAGGCACCTGCCGCCCGGGAAACAGCCTGTACTCTAATTCAACATGACCAAGCATGTAACCTGGAGAGATTACTCCAGCACCGAATTCCATGGTCCCTAGTGACCGATGATTGCCTACTACTGCAGAAGTAACCACCATGGGGGCTGCGTGGTCTCAAGGGATGGTGTCCGCCTCAAGTGCAAGAGGTTCCGGGTTCAATCCCTAGTTAAGGCTGGGATTTTATTCACGTGGACTTGGACTTCTAGTAATTCCCTCGGTCTATGGGTGGTGAGATCAGATTCCTGTGTGCATTGCTGCACACATTGTTGGAGTTAAAAATCTACCCAAAGAATTTCAGGATCCTTGCCAGTGCTACAGAGCCTGTGCAATGTGCTGTGCTTCTTCAGACTCTGTTTTAAGTTAGAAGAAGAACAGAGCATTTATGGGTTACTACCCGTGTGCTATGATGTAGTTTAAACTTCAAAGTAACCACCAGTTCTGTTTATATAGAAAATGATTTTAGAAGAACAAGAAGAAACTGGGCACTTACAAATCTGGCTGATCCAGTTTCCAGGTGGCCGGATAAAGTGCTTCATACGTCCGGTCGGACCCCTCTCCGTGAATGGCATAAGCGTTGAATTTGGTCACGCCGGGAGGAAAGTAAGACCTGGGAAGAATTGCTTCCCCTTTCCACCTGTCCCCATCAATGGTTGCATTGAAACTTGTCAGTGGGAGCTTGTCCTGGAAACCATCAATAAAACAGTATTATATAATAAGTCAGTAAAAGACGGCTGATATAAATATGTGTGTGTGTATGTATGTATGTATGTATGTATGTATGGGGCAGCATCAGCGCAGTCGATAAAAAGCTCGCTTTTCAAATCCAGCTGCCGCTCCCTGCAGCACAGGGTCGGTGTTCGAAACCGGGCAGTTTCCAGGGTTCACACAGCCTCTAGGAAATGGGTACCAGAGTCGAAACTCTGGGGTAAATGGAGGAACGTAGCTGTAGCTACAGAGTTAGGTGCGGACGGCGACACAGGTGGACAATTCTTATCAGCTGTCTGTAATAGTGGCTAAAATATTTAGCTTCTTAACCCTTAGAATGCTGGTTTTCTTATGGTTTATAACCGTGTGAAATGACACTAGTTCACATCTCCCGACTTTTTTGTATGTATGTATGTGTGTATGTGTATGTATGTATGTATGTGTGTGTGTGTGTGTGTGTATGTATGTATGTATGTGTGTGTGTGTATGTATGTATGTATGTGTGTGTGTGTATGTATGTGTATGTATGTGTGTATGTATGTATGTATGTATGTATGTATGTATGTATGTATGTATGTATGTATGTATGTATGTATGTATGTATGTATGTATGTATGTATGTGTGTGTATGTATGTATGTATGTATGTATGTGTGTGTATGTATGTATGTATGTATGTATGTATGTGTGTGTATGTATGTATGTATGTATGTATGTATGTATGTATGTGTGTGTGTGTATGTGTATGTATGAATGTGTGTATGTATGTATGTATGTATGTATGTATGTATGTATGTATGTATGTATGTATGTATGTATGTATGTATGTGTGTGTGTGTATGTATGTATGTGTGTGTGTGTATGTATGTATGTATGTGTGTATGTATATATGTATGTATGTGTGTATGTATATATGTATGTATGTGTATGTATGTATGTGTATGTATGTATGTATGTATGTATGTGTGTGTGTGTGTGTGTGTATGAATGTATGTGTGTATGTATATATACATATACATAGAAAAACAAACAACAGAAGAATTGCTTGAAGAAGAAAAAAGAAAGGAAAATCCAACAAACAAAATACCTTAACCATCTTCCTCTGTCCATTGAGCATAAGCAACAGATGCTGGCCATGTCTGTGAGAATCAAACAACAAAACAAAGAGTTAAACAGCACAGCTTGTTTTAGTCTGTCTCCATACTTCTGAATTATACCAAAGTACTTATTCTACACAGGAGCCAGATTTAAAAATAAAAAATTACCTTGGTTCCCGGGTCAACTCAGCCTTGAGTGGGTACCAGATGCAGTCCTGGGAAGTAAAGGTGACCAGCAGGCTGTTAACCACCTCATTTACCAAGTGTCTTCTTCTTCAGCGATCTCTGGTCATGCGCATAATCCACTGTGGGTCATAAATTGGAATGTCTTTTCAAGGTCTCTTAGGTTTCTCCAAAGCTTAGTTGTCAGTTCTACTGGGTGTTGCCATATGTTGCTCTGCAGCTCCGCCAGGAGAGGACAGTCTTGCAGGACATGTTCTGGAGTCTGTTCAGCACGAAGGCACTGGCAGAGAGCTGTTTGGCTCATACCTAATTTATGTGAGTGTTTATTGAGTCTGCAGTGTCCAGTGCGTAAGCGAAAAACTGTGACTTGGTCTGTTCTGTTCAAGTGTTTCAGAAAATCTTTTCCGTAGTTATAACCAGTGTTGGTTTTCCAATCTGTTTCTGATATTTACCAAGTGTCAATAGGTCTATAAAATAAAGTTCCAGCCCAACATGCCAAAGGCATGGAGAAGGATCCTTTACTTTACTGTCCACTATAATTAAATTTTTCAAGTTTAGTACCTTTTCTTCTTCTTCTTCTTTATTCACCGTTATAAAGACAGCTGGCACGTTATGTGTTGGTTTATAGCTAGTCTGCCATATCTGACCCTTTCAATCCAACAAAACATCCGATTTCAGCAAACCTTCAATTAGCTGCCTCCTACTGTGGCTTAGGCATCTTAAATGTGCTTCATAATTCCGTACTGCCGGGTGTAATACCAGCTGCAGGCAATTTGGCAGCTTACTACTTTGTGTTGGTTTCAAGTGGTATCGGGAGCTGACCATTCAGAAAGCAATGGCAGACTATAGAAACATAAAACTGCCCAGAAAAATTCCCCAGCCTTACCGAGGATTCGAACCCAGGTCTCCCGCTTGACAGCCCAGCATTCTAACCAGCTGCTCCTCTAAGCAATGTTCAAATGAACAATAATAATAATTATTATTATAATGAATATAATTGAAATATTACAAAACGTAAAACTTAAAACTTGAAAAGTGAACTCAGCCCCTTTACAATAATAATGATGTGCAGCACGGCAAATAAATATAATAACCGATATAATATGAAATGCATATTTAAAAAAAAATACTTTACAAGTGAACTTATTTCGTTTGCAAATTATTTTGGGCGTGAGTGTTTGTGTGTGGTTAGCTGGGCTCAAGCTAAGTTCAAATGAACAATAATAATAATTATAGAGAAAACCAATCTAATCAAAACAAAATAACATAAAACATATTTTTTTTTTCAAATTCTAAAACAGTGAACTTAGCTAGCCACCCAAATAATTTATTAGAGGAGGGTGGGGGGTGGGGGGGGGGGGGTGTTCAAGGTTCCTGAGCTCACCCCCTCCTCTATCCCCAATTCCCACGCGCTGCATATGCGTCAAGGAACCAATACTTACGGGCATAATTCAACCTCCAGATACTGGTTTTTGTCGTTCAAGAAAAAAGCCTCCACCACTGAAAGTTGAAAGAGAACTGAACATTTAAAATACACCAAAGGTTTAGGTGTGCTCATTAATAAAGGGAACATCTGCTATACTGTCTAACTGTTACGCCTTCATAAATGCCAGGTATGTTATGATAAGGTCAAAGTAAGTAAAAAAAAAAATGCAAAGGACCCTTTTCCCCGCCTTTAGGCGTATAGGGCATATAGGGCTAGACCTATATTTTGTAGACCAATCGGCACAAGATGGGTGATGTGGTCAGCATCACGCTGGCCGCCTTTACTTCCCGGGATTGCACCCGGTGCCCACTCAAGGCTGGATCGACATGGGAGCCAAGGTCATTTGTGAAAAAAAGTCTGGCTTCTCCAGGGAGCGAACCCACGACTTTACGACCCGCGGCGAGCGTCAAGCCGCTCCGCCACAGGGACTCTCTAAGGTCAAAGTAGTCATAACAAAACAAATCAATCCAGCAATGCTTTATTGCTAAGCCAGCATCCTACTTTGCATAATTATATTACACTTCATAAAACTGCACACATATATATATGTGTGTGTGTATACATACATATATATGATATATATGCATATAATATAGGGTTTTTTCTGGTTGTCTATTCTTAATTCAACATTGAAAATTAGCTAAAAGCCTAAAAAATGCAAGATGCATCAATTTTAAGTCTCTCTTTATTATCTTTTTGACCTCTGATGCTAAATCCCCTGAGACTGAACAAATTTAAGGCAAAAGTGAAAACTGAGATCAATCAATTTGAAGACAACAACACATAATTAAACCTATGCAAAAACCGAACATTCCTGACCTTCATAGTCCCAAAGTCCAGGAAATGGTTGACCAGCAGGACCGTTTGGTTTTGGGGGACTGTTGAAGAAAGGGGCAAGCACTGTGATTATCATCCCACCATCACTTGATGGCGCTAGTGATATCTTCACCGGTTCATGCTTTATACAGTCTCCATTCCATGTTGTTCTAATAGCGTAATTCCTGTTGGTGTAAAGAAAAAAAAAGACGTTTTCTATTATTTCTGATTATCTCTGTCATCGATAGCTTTAAGTCAGTGTTCCAAAACTTTTCTTAGTCGCGGCACCTGTTTTAAAACTAAAATGTTGCCACGGCAAATTATGACTATTCATATGTAAGAGATAGAATAAAAATAAAACTCGTGTATCTTCGAATATTTTGAAGCGCCCCTGTGAAGAGGTCGCGGATCCCTGGGTCGCCGCGGTGCGCAGTTTGGGAATCACTGCTTTAAGAAATCAGTTGAGAGTTTTCAAAGCCTCATCAATACATGCTAATTAGCTAGTTAGTTAGTTAGTCAACAGATCATTCTTACTGTAAATCAAACTATTCAGTCCATACGTGCTCAGATCCACTACTCAGTAAATCCTAAAGTGTGTAATGGCTGAACAGCCAGTTCTATGTTGGTCTATTCTTCTTCTTTGACTACCTGCATAGTGCTCTTGGCTGGCAAAATCCCCCTTTTAACTTGCTGATCTTGCAGTCTCGTCCTGGTTGCAGATTCACCCAGCACAGGGTTCTCACAGATGTCTTTCTTCTTGTAGAGCATTCATTATATCAGGATAGTACTTGGCTTGTCTGCCCTCCCCTGTAGGCTTACCTGCAAGCCAATCAGCTTACTCATTTCTTTGTACACCTGTATATCATGGCACATATTAATGTTTGATTCAATTCTATGTGTTCATTATATAAGTCAGTTTTAACTTACATTTATTCCAAAGTTGTTGGTCTACCTTCTTCTTCTTATGTGTTTAACTTCATCCTAAATTTTCGACCTTTAAAAGGGCGGTTAGCATGTTATGTTACAGTTTACAGCCAGGCTGTGATATCTGCCCATTTTGGTCAAACACATCCTCTAAACAGTCCTAAACAAACCCTTATTAGTGTTAACAAATATGGGAATAAGGTGACTGCTGTTCTGCAGTTAAGCTATAAAAGTCTAAACAAGATTAAAAAACATAAAGTACCTCTTAATTTTACAGAACTAACTACAATAAACAAACAAAAGATAATGCAGTGATTACCCTTTATCAGCAGAATAATGACAAGAAACAAATCATAACAACCAAATAAACTGATTATGAAATTTCTACACTATATTATTCAAATACTGTGAATAATAATAATAATATTGATAATAATAATAATAACAATAAAAGCTAGCAACAAATGAAAAACACAAATTGTGTTTATTTTTTTGACAGATTTTGTTTGGAGGCCCAGTCTCTTCCACGGTGTGATTCTCATACAACTGTCTGAAAGCCATAAGAATGGTCTTTTTCTCAACTTCCCAATGCAGAACTGAATCCTGCCAAATGTCGAGCCTTGCACTGTGAAATAATTTCACTAAAACATGCAGAGCTGCACAGATATACTCTTACCATACCCACAAATTCACTCCAGAAAATGATTCCTGATAATAGATGCTTTCTTATCTTCTTCTTCATCTTGTAAACCAGCTGTAAACTCCAGCAGAAAGTTCTGGTTGTTCATCCACTTTCAGGCTTTATTCTTGTTCCCAAAGAACCTGACTGTTGCATGCACATCCATTTTACAGACCTGACTTTTTTGTATGCAGACTGTTGGTTCCTTGCCTCTTAGGCAGATGCAGTCTGACTCTGAAGGAAGTTCCCAGTTAGTTTACTCTTATGACATGCTGGTTGGGGAATCAGCTGGTTTATTGTTTTTCCCACACAGGGGCTCCCAAACCCAGACAGTGAGCTTTATCAATAAAAGCTTTATCACAATAAATGTTTCTGGTCACACAATTACCTATATCCATCAGCAATCCATTCTCTAGGTCCGGATACACGGCAGACAGGCAAACTACTTAGGTAACGATGGATGAGGAAAATCACAAACAGAACTCCGCTCAGTAAGAACAGACACTTACTACAGGATAATAAACGAGCTCCAGGCTGGTTATAATACGTCATTGCGGAAGAATTTGCCCAGGAGTGTTTTCACGTTTACATTATACAAATTGTGGGTAAATTTGTCTCCAAACAGTTAAAGTATAAATCTTATACGCTACGCAAATTAGGAATGTTCGTAAATGTTCCGAGGCATATACCTCTGTAGCACTGCCAGTAACTTATAAATATATAGCTTCTTAACCCTGTCATCCTTAGAAAGCTGGTTTTCTGATTATAAGTTTTTGGGAGTGAGCAATATACCTATAAAACAGCTTCAGTACTGGTCGAAACAATGTGTACACATCTTGAGTATTTATTAAAGCATATATTATTATAAATCTAATCATATTTACGTCGGCTCAATGGCTAATTCTATGCGAACACTTCGATCCCAGCAGCGGGCCTTGCGCTGGTTTTGACAGTGGTATCAAGAAAGCTGACTGTCCAGAAAGCAATGGCAAACTACTGGACGTACATTTGCCTAGAAAAACCAAATAACAGCCAGGGGCTGTTGGGGTTGGTTCTGCAACGTCCTGTAAAGGATACGCAACTAACCTTTTAAAAAATCATATTTACACATCCCCGAAAACAATAAAAAAATGTCACATATTATTTGGGGTGAAAAACTTATGTGTGGCGATTTTTATTTTTATTCTTTGGTGACTGTGATGTCATAATAAACGTATGAAGAGGCTACTTTGCTCTCTATAGTCAAGAACTGCAGATTTCAAATCACCCTGTTATTTTCTCTTACATCTCAAATCCACTTCAACCTTCTATGGATTCATAAGGAATCCAGGCAATGAAATAACTAAAACTCAAGGAGGGAGTACTGTAAAAGGAAGATGTCAGTGTCTTGAGACACAAATGATTTCTCATAGGTGATGCCGTCAACATGATTCCAGCTACCGTTATTTCCTAGAAAATGTGCACCCACTGAGAGTGCAGACTGGTTTATAAAACACAGGTGTGAGAAGTATTGTCTGGATTTTTTTCACCGGGTCACGCCGGTGTGTTGGGAAATTAAGAGGCGGACAGACTGGCTGCTTCTGCACAACTTGGTGGAATACTGCTACATGACAGGGCAGACGTGGTTAGTGCCTTGTGGGAGAGTGTGTACAATTCGGAGGAGCAGATGGATCACCACAGTCTGGTGAGATTGATGCAGTTGGGGGTGACGAGAGGTTCTGGCAGAAGCTCGAGGCTCAGAGGAAAGGCAAGACAGACGTTTAATCAGAAAGCTACTGGCACCATTAATATCGGAACTCTTCGCTGGCTGCTGAAGATGGGGACGGAGCGCTTATGGAAATGCCTTGAGTGCTGTGATGTCGGTTCTTGAATCAAACCAAATCAAACACAGGTCTAGCCCATCCCATGTGGGTTTCAAGGCCCCATTGTGGGGGTAAAATCAAAGAACAGACCCACTGACTCCCCAACAAGCATGTCATAAGAGTCGACTAATTGGGCTTTCCTTTGAAGTCAGAGTACATCTGTCTAAGAGGCAAGGAACCAACAGTCTGCAAACAAATAAGTCAGATCTGTAAAACAAAACAAAAATAAAAAGAAGGAAAAAAACAACCATTGTGCATGCAACACTTAGGTTCTGGAACAAGTCTGAAGTCCAGAGGTGGTTGAACAACCAGAACTTTCCGCCGGAGATTACAGCCAGTGAACGCCAACAAGAAGATCTAGCCCTATATACCTAATATAATATGGCTAAAAGCGTGCAAAAGGTCCCTTCACTTCTACTAACCGTGGCCTTATCCCAATCAGTCTGTATATGGTGTTAAAAGCTTAATCTAAGGGTGTCCATGGCAAAGAGACCAAGCCTCATGCTCTTATGGTCGTAGGTTTGTTTCACTGAGGGGCGTCGTTTAGTACACTTAATTAAGCTATTTTTGTAAAGCAGATCACTATGGATCATCGACGGTGCTACGGAGTAATTGCTTTGAGCTGCAGGCGGTTAGTAGCTAGCTGAGCCATACTATATGGAATCTGGTGCAATGAAGTCTATACTTTCAACTTTAACTTAAAATTCTTCATCACGTCCACAGATATGAAGTTCAACTGCCCGCTAATCATTAGTCTAATGGACACGTAGCAGAGTTATGCTGAGCGTGGAGAGGGCAGGGGCAACGTCACCATACAGATACAGACCACTTTGGAGATGTGATCCCTGCAGAGGCAGGAGAGAAGACAAGTCTTTCTTCTCCGATAAATGCAAGACATTTTCAGTTAAGGGCACTGGTAAACTTAAAGTTTAAGTAGACAGGAGATACTAGTGTCACTAGACACTTGAAAAATTTAAAGTTAAAATTTGAGAAATAACGTTGGTTTAGAAACTTTCTTTTCTAAGAAAGCTCTCTAAACCAAACCCCTAAACTAAACTCACGTCTTTACTTCATTCAGCTCAGCTTCTAGTCCAAGTCCAAGCAATTACAAATAAATGAAACTCCTAAAGAAAGATTGCACTCGACAACATGAATATGCAATCAGGTCTCTTTTAAAAATATTTTTATTCCCTTTATATCTCCAGAAATTACCACACACAAAAATTAGTGGAAACACTTGTCCATTCGATCAACAGTCGAAAACTCATCCACTTACATTTCGGCTACTTTAGGCGGTGAAGTCCTTGTTCCACGAGTTCATCAACAATGTCACATGATCGCCTCTGTAAACGTTGTCGTTCCGTATCGCATTTTTATTTGTGACACAGATCCGGAAGTGTCGCGCAGGTAATTTGATAACCGAGGTAAGGAATGGGTGGACGTTGATAACACAGGTGAGTAATAAATAAATATTGTAATAGTTACAATCTTTAAAAATAACAGTTATGCTGTGTGCAATTTCCAGGGATTTATTTATAAAATATTTTACAATTGTGTTGTGCTTTGTGTTTGGAAACGATTCTATTCCGTTTGTAAATTACAATACTATGAATATGGTGTTGCTAAAAATACGATTTTGTTTTCAAAAGCGGAAAAATTAACGTTTCTACTTTTCGTATCACGACTTAGAAAAATCCCTAAATTTACACAGCTTTGTTTGTATTACATTTATTATGTACTGGAAAGGGGAAAAAGGACAATGTGTATGTTTGTATGTTTATTGTTTGGGCTATTTTATCGATTATGTACTCTACTACTACTACACTACTACTACTACTACTACTACTACTACTACTACTACTACTACTACTACTACTACTACTACTACTACTACTTCTTCTTCGCGTTCACCAGCTGTAAACTCTAGCGGAAGGTTCTGGTTGCTCGTCCACTACTGAACTGCAGTCCTGCTCCAGAACCTGAGTGTTGCGTGTGCATCAGTTTTACAGATCTCATTCTCTTGAATACAGACTGTTGGTTTCTTGCCTCTCCGGCAGATGCACTCCGACTTCAAAGGAAGCTCCCCAATTAGTCGTCTCTTACAACATGCTTTTGGGGAGGCAGTGGGTCTATTCTTGTTTTCCCCACAATGGGGCCCCGGAACCCACACCTACTACTAATACTACTGCTGCTGCTACTACTGCTACAAGAGTTGCTGCTGCTGCTGCTGCTGCTACTACTACTACTACTACTACTACTACTACTACTACTACTACTACTACTACTACTACTACTAGTACTACTACTACTGCTGCTGCTGCTACTACTACTGCTGCTGCTGATTCTATGGTGTTATTGACAATGATAGAGATGATAGATTGGCCGGTTCTGCCTTAGTTACATATGACCTTCCTATGGATAGAGCTGACATTGTTAATGCAGTGTCTCCAAACTGAAAAGGGGAGGGGGGGGGGGGATGGGGGATGCGTGAGAAAGTTCCAAGAGTGACGTCAAGCAATTTTGAAAGTGAATTCTTATGTACTTTTACTAGTCTATTATACTAACATTTAAAAACAAAATCTAATTAATCTGATATAATAGGCATTTAATTGTAGGTTAAGAACACATTTCTCCTCTCTTAAAAAAATCACATTTTGGTGATTGACTAAAAAAAAAAGGGGGGCGCCGGGGAGTCTTGTCATATACTCAAGGCGGGGGGAGTGGGGGGGGGGGAACTTGAAAAGAAAAATGTCGGAGAAACCACAGTTTGAGAGAGAGAGAGAGAGAGAGAGAGAGAGAGAGAGAGAGAGAGAGAGAGAGAGAGAGAGAGGACGATCAGAGGTTTTTAGGAACCGCGTGTCAACATCACTGCCAAGAATGCGAGAACTGGAAGTAATGATCGGTACAGTCAAGCATGAGAGGCACAGCGGACCTAATGACATATTATGAACCACCAGTATAGGACTGGCACTATAAACGCAGGACGCTGCTGTATATGTTGAAGTGGGAATCTGAGCACATATGGACGTGCTGTAAAGATAACCCGACTCAGAGCTCAGTGAGCAGTCTCCTCTGCTTCTGCTTTGGTGCTTACTTTAGTTATCAGTCTCTTTAGTTTCTACACGAACGGCTAGCTTAGACATTATTGGGTGCTTTATTATTATCCTACCCCAGATGACGACACAGGACAGTGAAACATTTTAGAGGGAGGTAAGACTGGGTTTCCCGGCTTGCTGATGCTTTTAACGACCTCAAAACATATAGAACTGGCCTTAACCTCAACTCACCTACGTCCTACGAGAGAGTGCAACCTAGGTCCCACGACTGCATGCAGCCTATCTACCACCCCCTGAAATATTAGACTGTCCCGTGACCTGTGGATTTCCCCTGTTTGGGGTTGGATATTAATAAAGCACCCATTATTGGAATTTCATTTATGCGCGGTCTATCCTTCTGAATACTAATAATACACGTATTTAATTAAACCACAATACTTTATGGACGGATATTTTAGTTTTGAACTGTCTCTCTCCTTCTGTATGGACGGATATTTAAGTAATGAACTCCCTCTCTCCTTCTGTATGGACGGATATTTAAGTAAAAAACTACCTCTCTCCTTCTGTATGGACGGATATTTAAGTAATGAACTCCTCTCTCCTTCTGTATGGACGGATATTTAAGTAATGAACT